AAATAGTAATAGCATGAAGGTCTTGTCCAAAAAAAAAAAAAAAAAAAAAAAAAAAAAAAAAAAAAAAAAAAAAAAGACTTTCTTATTTTTGGAAAGCAAACAGACTTATTTCATGGATGAATGCTAAGTCAAAGATGCAATCAAAATATGATTAGATATAATATGAAGTTGAATGATCTGATGTTTCTTTTTGATGTGGTATTATTGTATTGATGACATAATATAAGAGTTTAACATCAATTCTTGCTACTGATGATTTCACATATTGTAGGAGCTAGTATTGAAATGTTTGTTAAAAGATGATAATATTGGTGAGGTATATATATATATATATATATATATATATATATATATATTCGTTTGGAAAAAAATAAAGGACAGAGGAAGTAATAAACAAACAAACTAGGTGAGGTAATGAAGTTTTCATACAAGGACACAAATAAGTTCATAGTATATATACATGGCAAATCTAAGATAACTCTTTTACTTTGTTGATTCAAAAATAAATAAACCAATATTTGTATGGCAAATTTGAGGATAACATAAAGTGTAATAACCTATGTTTTCTTTCTTCAAAAAAATAAAATAAAAAATACTACGTAGTGTACGTACAGTGGCGGATCTAGCGGGGGTTCAGGGGGTTCAACTGAACCCCGTTAGATCCGGGAAAAAATGGGTTTTTAAAAAAAACTAATAGAAAAACTATATAAATAATATTCAAAACAATCATACAATAAGTTAACCGCGTAGCTCAGTTGGACAGAGTAATTAGTTTTGGACAAAAGGTCTTGTGTTCGAGACTTAGTATAGACATTAGATGCATTCTAAGTTTTTTTTTTTTTCCTTTTCAATTTTCTCCTTTTTTTTTTATCCTACTCCTCAGTTTCTCTTTCTTTTCTCTCTCCTAAAATAATCTGTGTTTTCATTGATTTCTGAAAGAAGACCCATGTCTACAAAACCCATGTCTTAATTGCTCGAAATTTTCTTCGAATTTCTCAATTTTCATCTTCCCTGTTTTCTTTGTTTTTTTTTTTTTAATCGAAAATCCGCCATGGCAGCATAGCTCTTCGAATTTCTCAATTTTAATCTTTTTCCTTTAAGTGTAAATTTGTTATTTGTTGTAGTTGTTTGATTAATGAATTGAATTATTGTCGATTATATATTGTTTTTCAATTGTATAATGTTAATTTAATACTGAATATGCTATTTGTGAGTTTTTGTTTGTTGTTTTGTTATATTGTTAACTTTAATTGGGCAGTTTAGTACTCCTGAATTTTATTTATTTTTAATTATTGTAGGCTGTGACCACCTAAAAAGTTTGGAGCATTTTTGGAATAAATCTAAAAAATCATCAATTTTTTTAATTATTACTTGTGTATTGGTATTTATTTAAACACTTTATTTTATACTTGAATACCCGATTTATATCCGTGCATTCGGACATTAGGTGTTTGATAAAATTCGAACCCCCTAGGTACAATTCCTGGATCCGCCACTGTGTACGTACCTCTGTTTCTTATGTTTATATTGTAAATAAAAGGAAACTGAGGTAGTAATTTACAGCCTTACAGGTTACAAACTCAAAATCATATGCTTCCTAATTCCTAGTAGCTAGTATCATGATCAACATCTTGAGATCTATACGTCAATTCTCACATTCAATTTATCTTCCAAGAAAAATACTGGTGGTAGTCAAAACTAACATCAAGTTCTATATTTCTATCCCATTGAGCAAGTCATTTATTAGTCTCATTACTACAAAATTTCCCAAAATACCAAACCGTAGTCCAACACTCCAACCACCCTCCACGCCAATCTTCCTTATAAATCAACACACTCCCAATTTTCTCACTTCCAACCTCTAAAACACACCACTCTACCCTTTCCCTTTCGCAAACAACCATGAAACGCGTCATTTCATCACTATCATTCTTCTTCTTCTTCTTCTTCCTCTTCACCTTCAAGCTTGTTACTTTATAAATTATTTTTAAGATTAGTGAATAAATAATCAATGAAATTGACTTTTTTCAAACCAGAAGATTATTACATCAAATGAACTATAAAGATTTAAAAGATAAGGGAAAAAAAAAAATATATATCAAACCGACATATCTTGTGAAATGCCTTAGCTTGAGAAAAAAATTAATATTCTTGAAACTAATAAACAAAAAGAAGAGGCCAGGATACCTATTTTCTATATGTATGCTCTTGTTTGTACGTAATTTTCAATACATGTCACAATGGTGCCAAAGCAAAAGATATAAAAGTCATTAGAGTCTACCCTATACTCACCTTCACTTAATTTGTTCTTACGAAGATGAGTTTTATTATGATGAATCTGAATTTATTAAAACTTCATAATTAAATACTTGTATTGAATAAACACAAATAAGAATGAGTAGTTAAATTACATTGAAAAACTAAATTGACATTGGGTATACAAAAAAAAAAAAAAAAAAAAAAAAAAAAAAGTAATAAAAGTACTACATGGAAAAACAAAATTTACATGGAAAACTTAAATTTGCACAAATATTTTTGCAAATTGGAGGGAATTTTGGTAAAAAAATTAATGTAAATTGTTGTTGGAAACAGCAAATGGGGTGAACATTTTGGGACTAAAATTTGTCAATAAGGGACTATCAAAAGGGGACGGGGGGAGTATTTATCTGTTATAATTCTATAGGAAAACTTTTGTATACACCTGGTTTTCAGTAATTTACTGTACATCGGGTACACTTTTGTCAGATTTAGTGTCACTTTTGTCAAATTTAGTGTCACTTTTGTCAAATTTATCAATGAAGCATAAATAACACTTATATATTTCAGGGTAACTTTTGTGCGTTTAAGTGTAACTTTTGCACATTTTATTGTCACTTTATAATGGATGTTTAGTAATTTACTGAACATCCGTTTTATTTAAAAGTTTGTGAATTTAATATTTAACAAATTTATGAAGAACATTTTAAGCAATCTATAGTTTTGTACTCGGTACCATTTTTTATGTTTGTAAATAGTTTAAATGCGAAGTTTAACATGGAGTAATTAATATCATCTTTTTAGTAATTACTTCCTCCGTTTCTATTTATTTTACGTGTTTGATTTCGGCACCTATATTAAGGAGAGGAGAGAGAGTGAGAGAGAATAAAAAAAACAAGGGGGTAACTTGTAAATACAAGGTAAAAAAGTTACCCTAAAAAGAAACGTGTCAACTTAATAAAACTTCCTAAAAATGAATACGTGTCAACTAAAAAGAAACGGAGGTAGTATTATTAATCTTTAGTTATACTTTGCATGTAATAGTGGTCAAACTTATACGTTGACGTACTTGTGTTAAATTTGACCGTATCAATTAGTCTAAATTATTACGGAGTATAAAACAAAGGGAGCATGTAATACTGTACAATCTATAATTTTAATTTTGATTTTGCACCATTGACGTATTAAATGACAATTATAGATTAGTCAATTACGTAACATGAAAGTCTTAAGTCTAACCCATGGTGCACGCCTAATTAAAAGAAAAAAATAAAATAATAAATAATTAAATACACCCGCCAATCTTGCCTATAAATCAACACACTCTCCATTTTCTCACTTCTAACCTCTAAAACACATCACTCTACCCTTTCCCTTTTCCAAAACCACCATGAAACGCATCGTTTTCTCCCTATCCTTGCTTTTCCTCCTCTTCACCCTCTCAACAGCTTTCCGTGTTACAAAACTTGACCTCACCCACGCCACCAAGCTTTTCGATCATATCGAGTCAACCGATGTACCCGATCACACCGGATCACAATATTATAATATTCTAAAAAACCGGTTCAACCCTCACCGATGCCGCCACCACCGCCACCGTAACCCAGTCCGGTATGTTACGGTTCGTGAGAGTGATGATGATGGAGAGGTTCAGGTTGTTTTTCCGGGTGAGGCTAAAGTCCTTCGTCACCGCCACGTGGCGAGGAGCTTTCCTGGAGTTGAGGATGATGAGCAAAGGATGGATGATCGTCTCTACATGATCCCACGGTATCGTCTCCGCCACCGCCACCGCCACCACCATCACCGCAACGATCTTAATGTCGAGGAGGATGCTAAGGGTGTTGAGGTGAAAGAGGCGCTCAATGAAGAGGAGCATAAAGATGATGAGCATGGGAAACATATATTTGAAAAGATTGGCAAGTTCTTGGGATATTTTTAAAAATTAAAAAAGGATGACACACAAAATATTGATATTTACTTGTAAAAATAAAATGTGTGCGACTTTTTTTATAAAAATATATATTTGTGGGAATATATAATTAGTATGCAGCCCGAGCGTTTGTTATGAAATTTATTTTCATATTGTGTTTATTATATATAATTGTAGCATTTTCAATCGATAAAGCATAGGTTGTTTGAGTATGTATTGTTTCATTGTTTGTGAAATAATGTTTGAGATGTATTGTTTGCGAAACAATGTTGATTTTATTCTTCTTAATTTTTTTTTTTTCAAACAACATACCTAACTAGTTTTTCCATTTTTTTTTACTCCGTATTAATTTTTTATTTTTTTACGGGCTAGTTTTTCCTTTTTAACTAGTGCACGTCATTTATAGTTGTATTTATTTGTATAGTTGACACAAATTAATATTAGCTAAGATGGCAAGGAGTTAGATCGTGTCGTTCCCTCAAGGTCTTGTGTTTGAAACCCATCAAATGGTTTTTATATTAATCTATCAATAATAGTTGGAAATCATAAGGTTCCTACTTCCTAGTAGTAACAGGAACAAGGAATTGAAAATGGAAGCACATATATATAAGTCAAAATCAGGGACAAAAATTAAATAATTCAATCAATCCAATACAATTGTTTAGAAAATAAAGGATACGAATACGATAAATTAAGTATAGTATAATATATTCTTAAATATAATAGAGGATACAAATACGATAAATTAAGTATGGTATATTACTCAAATATTTTAAGAAGACGAAAAAATCATTTAAAATTTAATCGAACTCAATAAATTTCAAGCAAATTTTATTAAAAAATTATTAAAAGATATTATATTGCAAGACTAATGAGTACTAAAGTAGTAGTGTTCATTTTGATACAACATGCAGCTGAACTTACATGTGAGTGAAACAGGTGCCATCAAGAGAGCCAATTAGTTCAGAGCAAGGCCATGGGCTAACCTTTAGAGACGATCCCTTGACATCAGAACACTCCCATGGTCTTGTTCTCGCTTTATAAGGGCCATTAAGGTTGATATCAGAAAGACAGATGTTAATAAACGGGGCGTTTTTTATTCCTTTCACCAGTCCGGGCTGTAAAATCTTCTCGCCCCATATGCTCTTCATTTTGATATCCCTAATAACAGGAAGAGCTTTTGGATCAAACTTGTCATCTGGATGGTCACCAACATCACCAGCAATTTTGATGCCTTTTCGGGCATTTTCAATGTATACATTAGAGAGAGTTATGTTTCTTATGTATCCTCCTCTTCCAATATTGGTCTTTAAATGTATGCCAACTCCCATATTGAAAAGGTTTATATGTTCAGCCAACACATTCTCCACACCACCCGACATCTCACTACCAATAGCAATGCCAGCAAATGGCGATGATCCGGTTATCCTTCGAATGGTGATGTCCGAGCTACGGCGACCAAAAGCAAGTCCATACTCATCCCACCCACTCTTTATGGCTATCATATCATCACCATTTGAAATGTACATGTCTTCAATGCAGACATTGGAGCTTGAATCTGATTGAAAATCAAGCAAACTGACTTAGTATACTGGAATTTGCAGATGCCATCATCCTGTTATCAGACCTAGATAAGTAGATATGTATAGAACAATTTGTAGGAGGCTTAGAAAATAGAAAGAAAAAAATAGAACGGAGTATGTTTAAAGGAAGTTGCTGTTGTTGGGGACTAAATTGCCTATGTCAAATTTTTTACAGCAAAAAAACTACCTAAACTATCCAAGATGAAACACAGGTGCACAACAGTGGATACATGAAGAGCAATGGTCTGTTATAAACTTGGCCCATTACCACACACATGCTGGACCCATAAGAACATGAGCAACTGAGATAAAGTGAATTTGTCAAGAAAAGACATCAATAGCTCACTTGGCTGAAGGAATGTGTTGGGAAAAGGAGGAAGGAGAGTTAAGAATCTATGTTTATATATAGAATGGAAAGGGAAACATGGATAGGACTATTGGAGGGAAATTAGGATCCATTATCCCTTATTTTTATCAAAACCCCTTCCCTTACTCCTTTTGAAGTTAAGTGCTAAACAGCTTCTCCTCTCCCTTCCTTACCCTTTTTATTATTCAACCCACACTTTACGGAAGCATAAGCTAGCAGGACTGAGAGCTTTATTTTATTCAAGTCAATGGTTTAGGTGGACTCATTAGCCCACTTGGGAAGGGGATGATAGGTTGCTGATCGAGATACTATGAAACAGAAGACACGCAAGCTGCAGAGATAGCTGTATTTAAGTCAAAAACAGTTATAAGTAAATTTACTTAGAACAGCCCGACACCAGTGATGATCAGGTGATAACATGATATCGCAAGTCTATACATACTCTCAATGTTGCCAAATTATCTCATTTCATGTGTAATATGAAGTATATTGTCTAGGAGGAATATCTGATACCAGGCATATCACATCAAGAAATAACATAATACAGAGTAACACATATCACATTCTATGGATAGTTGGATACAGAGTAACACATATCACATTGACACATTCTATGGATAGTTGGATATAGAGTAACATAATACAGAGGAATATCTGATACCAGGCACGTTGCATGGAAGAGTAAGTTGCATCAGGGATATCACATTCTATAGATAGTTATATACTACAAAGTATCATACTAGTGCCCATTGTGTTTTCAGAATTCAGATTATATAAATTTCATGTGGAACGCAGTATGTCGCATGGAATGAAGATTTTATTGCAAAATTTGACAAGTACCTGGATCAACACCATCGGTATTGGGAGAGTCAGGTGGAGCCAAAATAGTCACATATCGAACAACAACATTGCTGAGAAAACCAAATGAGAATCAAATTAGCTTGCAACAAGAGATAGTAGTCTATCATGGCAGAGTTGAAAATATATGCTACCACTATCATGAACAAAGTAGTGATTTATCTGCTCAACTACGATAAGATTTCAAATTGTCTTTCCAAATCCAACAAGTACTAACAATTAATATACTCATGCCCATCCTATCGAAACTGATGACTCATGCAGATTGCAGACCAATTCCTACAGTGTTATCCAAAGGCTTGAGCCAGAAAATTCTGACCATCACAGCCATGACAATGGCTATTTATTAAGGAGTAAATCAATTAGTTTTACTTTTAATAAAACAAATTAAAGCTATTGGTGCTTATTCAAGTATGACACAAATCAATGGCTGACTAAATGTTTAGCATGCTGTAGCATAGGAGACAGCAATATCTACCTGCAGTAGACAGGGTGAACATTCCAAAATGGAGAATTTTTTAATATCACATTAGAAATAATGATGTCTTCGGAATTCATGAATTCTATAAGATGTGGTCTGGTATATTGAAGAGTCCTTTTTCTCCATAAGTTCCACCAAATGTCTCCTTGACCATCAATTGTTCCATTCTCACCTGTAAATACCAAATTATCAGGGGACATTAAGACGGGAAAGTTTTGCAAAACATATTCATCCATGACTGAGAGGATCTTTTGAACTCACCGGTAATTATGACATCTTGGACCCCGTCCCCTAGGATGAAGCTCATGTACCTCCCTCCCGCCCGCTCCCTCCCTCTTCCATAAGAAGGCAATGGATCAGCTAGTGGCCAAGTTGAAGTATCCTGATGCATAGGACTACAAATTAAAACAAGTTATGCAGCATCAAAGTTGTGTGAGGGATTAATATAAAATGAACTGCTTCTGCCAGTGAAGTTTAAATCCTTCAAAGCTCATGCATAACTCTTAAAGCACAACCCTGCCAGATGTAGAGCAGCGGGTTTTATTGTGGTGTTACATGGTCCTTATCTTAGACCGGTGTTATCTGAACTTTAAATAGACATTAAGCTCTAAAAGGAGTACGAATTTCAATAATAGGCATACTGTCCATATGAGTTATTTTTCATGACCACCCAGATTCACAGATTAGAATCAAAAGCTCAACAGAGAGCAAAAATGAACGTCACGGATAATGAAAGGACTAGAACACAAAGGACAAGCAGTTGTACAACATTATTATTTAAAGGAGAGCTGAACATCATCTTCTATTCTAATAGAGACATGAGAAATAGGACAGCAAAGCTCCATGGACAGCTGAAAGTTTGAAAAAACACGTCATGGCCTGGGTTTCACTTATAACATAATCCAAAATCAGTGTTCAGTTTCAAGACAACTAAGTAATGAACCATCATAATATTAAGGATTTTTTAAAGCCTATTTCTTCTTTAACTCCTTTTTTCAGCCTCGTGTATATAAATGGTTAGAATAATCAAACTCACGGATACCAAATTGGAATCATGGTAGGTTAGGAGTCACACAACACATCATAAACTTTTGAAAAGTCAATTAGTTTTATATGTTAAAATTTGCATTATATCTAATAATCAAGCCTTTTGGGACATAATGATTTACAGCATTAAAAAATTAAAAACTTTCAATATAGTTGCTGTATAACGCCACGTATATCACTTTGCCAGCAGATGTATGATTTCTTCTTGGCAAGTTACGAATAATGGTGGGTCAGCAGAAAAAAAAAAAAAAAAAAAAAAAAAAAAAAAAAAAAAAAAAAAAAAAGATAGAAGCACTAAGAAGGGCAAAGGAAAAGGTCTTATTGCCAAAAATTCTATGAGAAAAGCTGAACCAAAATTGAGCATTTTGTTACTTTATCACAAAGCAAAGTAGCAAATACTACTGAAAACTGCCTTTGATCACTGCAAAGGAATATCTTGGCATTATAAAGGGCCACAAATACATTGTCTACATACTCTTATTCTTTTTTCAAACAAAAGTGCTCTACATATTCTATCTAGCAAATAATAAATTATGTTAACTAAGTAAATAAGTCTTAAAACTATAGTACTATGTATATGATAATGATATGAATTACCAGTCAGCTACTTTAAGCTATCAAGGAAGATAACCAAGCAACAAGAACAAGCTAAATCATCAAATGGCAATATCAATCACATTTTTTTATAAGATTTTTCAAGTAGCATATGAAAGGATATTAATGATCAAAGCTTGACTACATTATTCAAATGTGACATATCAATACGAGAATGAGTGAGTAACATAACTATCATAGACATAACCCTGACCGATAAATACAGACTTTATCGCCTAACGGCTAATGGCTAATGATCAATTATCCTTTTCTCCCCTGCTAAAAACCAATAAGCAAGGCACATGGAAGCATACCCTTCAATTGACCCACCAACCCTCAATATCTCTAGCAGTATGTACCAAGAACACATGAGGACCATACAAAAGAATTTGAACCTCAATGTCTTAATCATATTAAAGACTGAACCTACAACAATTACCCCATATTAAGTAATCCCACCTCCTGAAAGTCGAGTTTCAGTAAATAAGGCTACATTGCCATTATATAAGACTTTGTGACATCTATAAAATGCGTCTTTAAGACTTTCAATGAATTCCCATTACTAGTAAGTCCGGTTCCAATTATTTGATCATGACCTCCAATAACATTAACTTCTAGAACAAAAAGAAATTCATCATAACAAAACCACAAGACCTGTTACTCTTTGAAGTTTGAAGAATCATAATCCAACAAAAATCAAATCATAAAGCAATAATCATCGCTTTGTTCTTTCTACCAAATTAAATTATACTTTATCTTCCTACAATATCTTGATCTAACTTTTTTTTTGACATTTTCATTTTAAGTTCAAGTCAATTATTCTGTACCAATTACATGAACCATTTTATCCTCTCAATTCCAACTTTGCATTATTATATAGAGCATTTTGTTCCCAATAACATCTAAATACTTGGTAATGGAACTAAAGAATTGATATTTATCAACCAAAATGCTACTCCATTACCCCACATTCAAATTTCAAATTAAACCCATGTAACTCACACATTGTACAATAACACAATAAGATACCCCTCGATCTCAAAATAATCGTTACATTCGACTTTTCAAAGTTAATACGAGTACTACCTATACAAAACACATATTGCGTGTTGGATATTGTTAAATTCGTTCTAACGTGCACGATATTAAAGTACGGAAACAAAATGGAGTAACTAATTTGAGACGGACAATCGAGTAAATAAAAAGGTAAGTACCTGAGTAGCTTTGATGACAGCACCACTAGCCAAGTAAAGAGTCATATGGCTAGTCAAGTTAAACCTTTCAGTTAAATACACACCCGGCGGTATATACAACAACGAACCCCCAATTCTTCCCAAATGCTCTATCCTATATATTGCCTCCCTAAACGCCTTGGTATTCACCGTCTTACCGTCACCGACACCGCCGAAATCCGTTATCGATATCTTATCGTAGCGGTTCCGCATCGGAACGATTTCTGAACATGTTACTAAATCGTCGGCGCCGGCGAAGGTCGCCGTTAAGAATAGGATTATGATGAGCAGTGTGTTTTTGTACATTTCTGCCTGTTTATTTAGTGATCACTTTGGAAAAATCGAGGAGAGAGAATTAGAGGTTAAGAAAATGCGGAATTGAAATAGATTATGTAAGGATTGATAACACTGATTGACGTGTGATTTTGTTATTTTTGAATTGTCGGCGTATATAATTGTTGTTGAGTGTGGAGAGAGGGGATGGGATGGAGAGTTTAGTAGGATGGGTGCATAGGAATGTGAAATAGAGACGTTTGTTTTGTTTTGTTTAGAACTTAAGGATCACGAATTCACGAGACATACATGGGGAGAGGAGTTGCTGAAACATGATCTAGATAATTAATGTATTAATTAATCACAAAGGATTCTACCACTTATTCCCTCCATTTCTAAATTAAATTGTTAATTATAATATTTATTCCTCACATAATAGATACAATTGAATTATAAACAATGTTAATAAAATTAGTTTAAATCATATCATATCAAGAAAAATAACTTTTGATATACTATACAGGGGTATTATTTGAGAGAAAATACAAGTTCATCTTCATGATAAACAGAAAAACGTTTATCTAGTGGTATTTTTGTAAAAAAATCAAAAACTTTTGTCAAATGAGGACCCTAGTAATGTTGATTTATTTACAGAAACGCCATGATGACTGGGATTTAATATTGATTTATTTACGGAATTGACACTAGATAAACGTTTTTTTGTTCATCATGAAGATGAACTGGGGCTCCCTCTTTTATTTTATGTGCGGATTTTTCCGCTATATATGTCATTAATTTTTAGTGATTAATAATATAAAAATTAGGATACACATGATTATGAATCAAATACAACTTCACTTGATATGAATAAGTTTAGATTGATCAAATTATTAAAAAAATGACTTTTTTCATAAAACTTAAGTGTTACACTTTTTTTAAATGGGTGTTTTTTCAAGGTATAACACTTGTTGTTGTTGCTATTGCGGAGTATTATTATTAACAAAAACCTACATAGTCAATCGATTTACAATAAATTAGTGGGGAGCTGAGATACAATTTGGGCCCCCGACCACTCCTCTAGCTATAGCGAACCCAATCCTGCTGAATATGTGAGCAAACTGTGCGAGCACCTATATCCTGAGTCCTTGCAAACGCGTGAACCCGCTTCAGCAATGTAACAACATCGATCTTTTTCTAATTCCCCCAAAGAAGAAAAGGAGAAAGGAAGAAAATCATAACCAATAGCCCTGCAACGAGCCCCATACTTGCCCCGTTTCCGCTAAGCAGCAACCGACACAACACGACCAGGAACAAAGTCAGACAATCTAGATTGTGTCAAAGGAGAAGACCCCATCAAGTCAACACACACATCAAGGCCTCTATCCGAAAAATAAAGCAACACATCTGCAGGTCAAAGAGCCCCATTGTTACCTCCAGTCAACCCAACGTTAACCTCCTTTCTCGCAGAAATACCAGACCGAAACAAATATCAACAAGGGTGTCGCTATCAACATTTTTGCCAATATTTAATACCCACCATCTCAGCACAAGACACTGCATGATCTCCAAATATATCCCCATCGAAAACCCTTGAGCAAGAGGAACATAATGCCGAAATCGAGAACAATGGAACACCCAATTTGTAGCAAAGAACTGAATAGTAAGTTTTAACATTCATAATCTGACCCAACCCCGATATTGGGACTGCCTGGTTAAGTGATCCCCCTGCTGGGATCTCCATAAGGCAATTTGATACGGAGATAAGAAGAAAATGGATGTTGTAGAAGCAGTAACCTTCGTGAAATATATCTGTCAATTTCTTCATGAGTTTGGGGCAGCAATCTCACTACGGTTACGCATAAGCTTGGTCTCCACAATCCTATAAAAAAGACTAAGAGCATTATTAAAGGCCGGTCCCGGACCAACAATACTAAAATTGCGATAAAGCGTAACGTAGCGTGAAGACTAGTAGACTGCAAACGTGATGCGAGGAAAGCATAGTGCCGAATATCACCTGCTTAATATACACCCAGTCTCTTATAAGCAAAAGTCAAGATGGAAAGAAGCCATTTTCAATCACCAAAATCAGGCCCCGAAGCAGTAACAATGCGCTCCAAAGAAGCCCGAAGGGCTACATCAAAAGAAATCTGGGCAGCTTCAAAAAAACGAGGGGCCACATCAAAAGATGCCCGAAGGGCCATATCAAAAGTAATATGGGCCGCTTCAAAAAGACGTCGGGGGACAAGTATGCATAGCAAAGTAAAGCTTTAAAAACCCCAGTACACGCACGAAGTACTAATGGGGATTATTATTATTATTATTATTATTATTATTATTATTATTATTATTATTATTATTATTATTGTATTTTCCTATTTTTAACAATTATTCTTAAATATTTCCTCTCAAATCTTTATTTTTTCATCAATAAAATATCCCATCTACCCCAATCAATTAAATTACCGAATAATTATGTTTTTTTCTCACCATGTAACTAGAGGTGACCGAAAATTCGAGTCGGATCAGGCCTTAACATCAAATTTCATACCCGTAAAAAAAAGTAGCAGATTTATTTTTTTCATACCGGATTTGGGTTTTTAACTTAAAAACTGGTTTTTGCTTGTTAAACCAGGCATTTTTATCGAGTCAACCCGTAGTTAATCACCTCTACATGCATCATTAAAAATAAACATACGAAGTATATTTTTATGTGGATCTTTGGGAAAGTGTACATGTTGAACCCATATAGGTTACTAGAATTGCAAAAATAATGGACGCGTCACACACCAGATGAATATTATGTTTGTTTTTTTATATGCAAAACTTTATCAGTCTAGATTTTTATGCAAATGAACTAAATTTGTTAAAATATTACTCGCTCCGTATGTAAGTAGCGATTGCTGGGAATAATACTAAAAAGGAAAAGTAAAAAAAAAAAGGTTTGCTGTATCTGGGCTTTAACTTAAGCAAATTAATGTATCAAGCTCTTAAGCAATGTAAAAATTTAAGAAAAATGTTGTTAAGCAATTGCAAATTCATATATCACGTAGTGCTCTGTCTCTTTTGTCTCAATCTCAATCCATTGATCTCGGAGTATAATATTAGAGACTTAACAATTGAAATATTATTATTACATGTTACGGAGTATAATTTACACAAAAATACACACACAAAAAAAATGTAAGGGTTTCTCTACATGGTACCCTTAAATTTTTGAGTTTTCTACCTTGTACCCTTCTAAATTCAGATTTTTACAAGGTGACCTTGAGTTATTAGTTTATTTTACATTATACCCTTGAGTTTTTAAATTGTTCTATATGGTACCCTTGAGTAGTAATATAAATGGCTCTAAATTAATTTGACTCAAACCCACACCACCTAAACGACTTATTTAGCACCATCAAATACACAACTAACATGTTTATTGCAAAAAAAAAAAAAAAAAAAAAAAAAAAAAAAAAAAAAAAAAAAAAAAAAAAACTAACAACTTGAGTCCCTCTAAAACAAGCTCTTTTAGTTAAAGTATGAGCAAAAAAAAGTTCTTACTTTCCATCTCAAATGATCATACAAAAGTTCCACTAAATAGCGAATAATGAAGATTGGTGATTCCTCCATCTAATATAAATATAGAAGTGGTAAATAGATCATTTAGATGGTGTCGGTTTGAGTCAAATTAAGTTAGAGTCATTTAATTTACAACTCAAGGGCACCATGTAGAAAAACCCAAAAACTCAAGGGCACCTTGTAGAACTTAGGATTTAGAAGGATACAATGTAGAAAACCCAATAACTCAGGGGTACCATGTAGAAAAACCCAAAATGTAATAACAAAACATTATGCAATGCATCATTTCCAAAAACCGAAATATTGAATAATAAAATCTAATATATATATATATAAAGGGGAGTTTTTTCCCAAGTTTTTAGAGACCCACGTAGGATCTAATTTTCTCAACGCGCCATGTAGGATTATAAATCTTAGTAGTAGCCAATTAAATAATAGATTATTAATTTCTTTTAGAATTAAATAATTTAAATGCCATGTAAGCAAAATTGACGAATGAGATTTTTAAGTTTAAATTAATTAAATATTATATATTATCTTTTAATATTAGGAATTTTATCTAAATATATAACAAATTTTAGGCTCATAAATACCAAAAAAAAAAACATTATTTAAAAAAAATCAAACAAACCGTGCATCGCACGGGCTTCATCTAGTAAGCTTAATTGGTATGTGCACAACGAGTGGCTGAGTGGGTTTTTTTATCGCGAAAGTGTATGTGGTACACTTGAATGTATTAGTTAATCTTCCTCCGTTTATTTTTTAAATCACAACAATTTTCTTTAAATAATTTGCATATTAATCGCACCATTTCACACCTCAAATACTCATTAAATTACCCTTTCGTTGATATTTACCCTTGTTACCTCACTTTTGAATTTTTAATCTATTCCCATTGTTTCTAGTCACATGGACATTTTTGTTACATTATTCATTTTTTAAACTTACGCTGTGTGAGGTTTCCATAAAAAAAAAAAAAAAACCTTATATTTTGTGCTCAATTCAAATGGTATAATAACAAAATAAGAAGTTAAATAGAGAAAGTATTAATTAGCATAAAATACGGACACATCACATGCTAGACATGCACAACACCAATTATGTAAAACATGTGATGTATACGAAGACGTGTTTTGTGCGTAAATAGTCTAAATACATTCAAAATTGTTTGATATCGTCAAGACGAATATATTTAATAACTAAGGTTTGACCTTATATATATATATTTGTTTGATATAAAGGGTATTTCGTATATGCTATATAATTAAACAAATTGTTGGTTGTTATATCAAAAACTACATGTCTAACACACGCATATATTTTGTAATTAACTTTACACATCAAAAATTCATATATTGGCCTTAAAGTTGAAATTTGATTGACTTGGATAAAAATAAAAAAAATAATAAAAAGTCATGTGTTGCTATCACGACAATAACAAGATAATATAGCATGAGAGTTTAGTTGCGAATGCTAAGCTTTAATTGAACAGATAATAAAATTTAAAAATAGATAAACTTTAGAAACATAAAAATTTATTTCAAGCTAGTTTAGTTCATACATTTCCTGCAAGAAATGAGCATATTTTAAGATGCATGAAACAAAGCAACATCATTCTTAACATTTGTTTGGATTAGTTTTGGCCGTCCTTTTGGCAATCTCTGCATCAACTTCCTCCAACTTCATTTTACCAAAGGCAACAATACCATGTGACTCTTCCAATGATAAATCTTTCATTTTTATTGTCCCCTTTCTAAGTGAAGTGAACAAGTTTTCCATCTCAAGTCGATGATTTTTCTCTTTCAACTTGAGGAGTTTTTCCCGAAGCATTTCAATTTGTTTTTCCTTAAACAAATTCTCTAATTCCATAGCCTTCTCACTTTGTTCTTTGTCATTGTTGGGATTAAATATGACAAGAGTTTTTGCCTTGAATTCAGTTGACAAAACATCTATTTCTTTCACAAGATCGCTCATAAGGTTTTCAATGTTAGTGTTTGCATCAGACATGATTGATCTGAATTAGAGTGTTTGTAAGACTGATGGGATATGAGATTATGTGATTAAACACATTAGCCTATTGCCCTGTTTATAGAGGGTCATTTAATGTTATGAAGCTATTTTTTTTTTTTTTTTTAAAAAAAAAAACACACACACTAATGTCATGATATTTTTCTAAATGTAATAAATATATAAAAAAAAATAACCGTTGAAATATTTCCTTAATTGCTTGAAAACGTTGTTGGGAAAATCTTCTTACGGATTTTCTTACCAAAGTTTAAAACATCCCATTAATTATTGACCTGTAAGACTACATACCTATTTATTTAAGTTGATGTAATGGAATTATTTATTCATACTAATTAGAATTTATTTAACTTGTACTCCCTCTGTTTTTTATATTTGCAAAACTTCCCTAAAATGAAAATGTCACAATACTTGCAACATACCATAATTGGAAAGTTATTTTAGGGGAAATCTATACTATTTCCCTTATTTAAACCACATGGCCCACTAAATTACACTCCTAACAACCACTCATCCCATTTTAAGTGTATATTATATCATGTGAACCCCACATACCTTAAATACCGTGAAAAATGTGTGTTACAACTATTAAAAAACAAAGGAAGTAATATTTAATTGAAATGGAAAGAAAAAAAAAATTTAGCCCCCCCGCCCCGACCCCTTTTTCTCAACTAGGCCAATCTTAAACTTTAAGGACTTATGATCTAGACCAACAATTTGCTATTTTTGAAGTATGTTTTTGTCTTTAGTTTCAATAAAATTACATTGTTGAGAGTATTCAGTTTGAGTTCATTTATACATATGAACTGACCGGTACTTAATTTGTATGGAATTCTTTTTCTTTCAACACTGCTTTACTACATAATTAAAGAAAGGAGAGGAACCATGATCATGCGTCAATCCTCACGATAATTTAGGTCCACTATTTACGGTTAGACACTTAGAAAGTGAGAGGTATTAAAGGGTAATTAAAGGATCTCAACCCTTATACGTGTTGGAAATTGAATTCATAAACACAAGGTCGAAAGGTACAATATTTTCCATTAGACTAAACTTAGCTTGGTAAGTGCGTGGAATTACACTTCATAATGCACATTTAAAACGTTTATATAGTGAGCTAATAACCTATATTATCGTGAGGATTGACGCATGATCATGGTTCCTACACTCCATAATGCACATTTAAAACGTTTATAAGCATTTTTCAGGTGCAAACCTAATACATGTGAAAATGACATGTCATGTTTATAATCACATGTGGCGCATATTGCTGACATGTCGAACTTGAAAAAGGTTACTTTATTAAGACGAGCATCCACAATAGATATAAGCTACAATCTCCAAAATGGCAAGCTATTACCTTTTGTAATTTTGATAGAAAAAATAAAGGAAAAAAATAGTTTAATCACTTTAAGTGAATAACACATGCTTTGGGTGTGGTGAACCTACATAGCTTTAATAATTGCAATTATTGTAGTTCCAACTATCTAATAATTGCAATCAAGGACCTATTTACTCTCTTACAACATTGTTTTTTTTTTTTTTTTGTTTTTTTAATTTTTTTTTATGCAAACTCTTTTACACCATTGTGAATGGGTTAAGTATCGGCGCATAACATCTATATGTTTTAAAAACATGTAGGATGGCAAATTGTATCACTACAGCCTAATAAGTAACAGGTGGCAGATATTTTAGGAGAAAATAAATAATCAATGACAAAAAGTACCATTACATGCATATTAGTACAAAAAAGTACCATTAATACAACTTATACTTTAATAGTACATTATAGTACCTAAAAATGTACCACTTTAGAAAACCATCAAATGAAAGAAAAAAATTAAAATCCCATGATGCCCTCCTATATGCATGCTAAATATATAAGTGATATGCGTCTATCAATCAATTAACAATAACTATATACTAAAAGACACACCAACAATGACATGTGTCGTCTCCTGGTGTGTCTTTATTTTTTTTTTTTTTTGAAAAACGCTAATTAAGTAAAGATTTAATGAGGTAAAAAAATTGACTAATAGGTCAATTGCCTTAATTGTAAAAAATTAATTATTGTCTAAATCATTTCTTTTAGAAAGAATTAAAAAATCAATCACAACACTAGGAAAAATATCATAAATTATAATACAATCCATAATAATAATAAAAGATTAATATAAATTATTTTTTCAAGCTAATTATCTTAATAAACAATAACTACACACGAGTAATAAACATACCAGTAACTACATGATATATCGATTGATTACTAATAATTTTTTTTTAATATTTGTATAAGATATTGCCAAAACATAATTAAAACATACCGATATTCGTTTTTCAAAAAAAAAAAAAAAAAAACCCTATATTCAATTAGAGTTCATAACAAGAAAAAGATTGAATAAAGAAATAATACATTATTCAAAAAATATAGATTAACATTGTAAATGGCTTGATTTGAGATAAAATAATAGCGTGATTTTAGCAGTGAGTACAAAGGGAATTGAATTATTTCACGAGATAGATCTATAGCTTTAAAAATTTATTTAATTGAAAAGAAAATAACAGCATCCCACTAAAATATATAAATATAATTATATGATCAAATGCATAAAAGCTAATTGGATCTTCTGAGATTATTTCAATAAATATTTTGGTAGTTTATTTCACAATATTAGTAGACAATGTTTTTTACATTAACTAAAATAGTGTAAAATTGCTGAGTTGATATAATAATAAAAGTTACCGTGCGTGGCACGGGACCTAACCTAGTATGTACTATTTATTTCTTATGAAAATAACTTGTTTGTAAAATTAAAATGTACAATTTTTTTTTTTTTTTTTTTAAAAAAAAAAAAAAAAAAAAGAGAGAGAGAATAACTCTTCCCGCCAAAAGTCTAACATCACATTTCTAGCGCTATTTTCATCCCGCCATTTTGAAACCCTCAAACACTCTCTCTCTTTCTTTCTCTCTCCTCAACTCACAAGAAAGTCGATTCAGTCTTTGTTCCTCTTTGCTGATTTCCGTCGTCGTCGTCGTCGTCGTCGTTGTTGTCATTGTCGTCGTCGAATCTACAAATTCGATATTCAGGTAACACTCAATTTTTCTCTCTCATCGAAATTGCGCTGAACTTTTGCAATTATATCTGTAGATTTCAACAAATTAATGATAGTGAGCAAATTATCTGACGATTTGATGAATTCTAGGTATAAATCGAAGATGACGAGAGAAGAGGTTGAAAATGGAAGAGATAACATGTTAATTGACGGTCCAGAATATCAAAACCCTAACCCGAATTCGATTTCCGAATGCTTTAATGCTAATTACCTTAAAGTTTATTACTGTAAGTCTTTAATTTTTGCCTATTTTAATTAATTTCTATTAATTTTGGTTGTATAATTTTTATACTTGTTGTGATTTCAGCAAAGCTGTTTCCTTATTCTGACATGTTCAAATGGATGGCATATGGAAATGGTATTAATTAATCTTGAATTTTAATTTTGTAAAATATGATATTGAATTGCTAAGTATTGTTAGTAGTATTTATTGTTCTTTTTTCGGGCGATGATTTATACGGCAGATGGAAAGCACCCAGGATGTGATATGTCTTATTTCAGCAGAAGGGAATTTTCATTTACGCTGGATAATGATATATATTTGCGGTTTCAATCTTTTAAAAGTGCTTCGGAACTTGAAAGTGCTGTCAAGGATAAATGCCCCTTTAAAATTGACATTGGTCCTGTTTATAGTGTTGATGTAAGTGCCCCCTTCATTTTTCTATATATTTAGATTGCTTATATGTCCTCCATTTTTGAGGTTTATTCGTTATGTTGGTGGCAGTTGTTGATTGATCCCATCTTAGGATGAAATGATTTTGTTGATGTAAACGTCCCCTCATTTCTTAAATAACTCTTCTATTATATCAACCCCTCCTTCGTTGTCATGGGATTGAGTTTCTTAATACACCATATATGCTGCTCTAAATCCATGGTGGAATGAAGCTACCCATGTCTTTGAGTGTGGTTGATTAGAAATGATATGAATCTTAGGAATGAAATTGACTGGATTCAATGCTTTGATGCTCATCAGAAGTGAATGTTACTCTGATGCTCTTTTTTTATGTCTCCCTTCCACGTGTTTCTGGTTAATACATGAAATCTGTTACATGCCAAGCCTGAAGTTTCAGTAGCTTTCTGTGGATTAGAAATCTTTATCTACTAGTATTTCTGAATACGTAGACTATTTGTTATAATGTTTTATATAAACTTGTGACTGGCTCTCTTTAGGAAGCATGATCTTTGCAATTTGATTGCAAAGAACTAATTTTTAGAGCTCCGCTGTCTAATAATTTATTGCACTTTGTTCCAGCCATCAAAGAGACATGCCTATGCACAAACTGGGGACAATGTCTTCAAACCTGTGGAAAGAGAGCTTATATTTGATATTGTAAGCTCCTGAATACTAATATACTACTGTCTTATTGAGTTAATTAGCTGATGTGTGGGATTAACTTTGTTTTACTTTCTGCAGGATATGACAGATTATGATGATATCAGATACTGTTGCTCTGGAGCTGATGTCTGTCGAGACTGTTGGCCTCTGATGACAGCTGCTATTAAAATTATTGACACTGCTCTCAGAGGTATATCAATCAGATTATTATAAACCTTGTATTATGACAGTTGCAAGATCCTTGTAATAAAAGTTTGATGATTGCTAGCTTGCTGAGATGTTTGACTTGTCTCATAGTAACTGACATGTCTGACAATCTTGAAAAATCACAAGGCTTCTCAGAATATGTTATCCCACACTATATGCTGAGATGTATGTGCTGCATCTGACAGTTTCCATTGTTCATGCTGTAATTATACAAACCCTTGTTTTGTGGTCTGCTATATTTACGATTTTGGGTTAAATTAAAATGCCAACCGTGCTTGAAAAATTCGCCTGTCTAAATGCTAGCAACACTGCTTAATCAAGAGGAACACTGTTCTTTGGGGATATCTATGCGTATGTAAGAATAAAGTTTGATTGTGAAATTCTGTCGCTGTTTTCATATACAGATGATTTTGGTTTCATACATATCCTCTGGGTATTTAGTGGTCGGCGTGGTGTACACTGTTGGGTTTGTGATGCAAAAGCAAGAAGGTAAAGATATATGAAAAACTCTTAGCATTTAAGCAATAAGTTATGCGTATAGATTTCTTATACGTATAAATTTCCTTGAAATATTTTTTCTTTCTGCAGGCTAACCAACGAACAACGAGCTGCTATTGCCGAGTATTTTCATGTGTACAAGGTGATTCGTTGCTGGATAGATCATGAGACCTTATAGTTCTGCTGACTGGTGTCAAAAAGTGTCTGAAAAAATGTTTCTTTCTCTTCATTGTCTTTGCAGGGCAATGAGAATAGTCAGAAAAAGGTCTACCTTGGGGGTTCTTCTCTTCATCCATTTCTCGTGTAAGTGTGGATCTACATGCTTATTCTGATCCCTCTAGTTTGATCTTTTACTTAATCATATCTATCTTGCAGGAGATCATATACTGAAGTTTTGAAGAAATTCTTTGAGGAGACCTATCTTTGTAGTCAGCAGCTACTTTCTGCTGAAGAGAGATATGAAAAGATTCTAGAGATGATTCCTGATGAATGTATGTAGTCAACATTATGGTCAATAACATTCTTATCACTGATAGAAGGGATGCTGTTTTGCTGTAGCCTTTTGGTTTACTGTCATTAAACTGTGTTTGATGGGAATTGGTGTATTTGCAGCCATTACTTCTGATTTCCGGGGAAAATGGCAGGATAATAGGCGATCATCCAGTAGTAGAGAAGACATCAATGTTGCTCGTTGGGGGCAATTAAAGCACGTCCTTCAAGCTGGGAAGCAGAAGGTATTGCATCTTTAAGCTATGCACACACTTGCAATTTATGATTTTGTACTTAATTGGAGAGATTAGGTTATGAGGACCAGTGATATATATAGGAGCCAGGATATCCTTATACAATGTTATTAAGTCCTTTGCTCTATGTTTTCTGTAAATGATCTCAAATTAAAACTTTTTTATGCTGTTTTCACTTCTTTATGCTGAAGTGACTCTTTTATATTATAATCTTCTCCTCCGCCCTCTGTCTAGTGAATATTGTTAACAAACACAGATAATTAGAACTAGCTCAACCTTGATTGGATTTTTTATTTTCATATTTTTGAAAAGAGGTGATGATGTGGATAGGATTTAAATGATAAACCAGAATAACCAGTCAAAGTCAATTAATTGCTCCTAATTTTACAGGGGCAGGGACTACGCAGATGTGTTGAGGAGATTGTATTTTCTTATACATACCCTAGGCTAGATAGTGAGGTATGCTGATTCCTGTTCTCTGCATAATATGTCATTACCTCAACTTAGAGCGAGTGCTATATACTCCCAACAACTGTGGCAAGCTAAGAAAAATATGTTTCAATATCTCAGGTCTCAAAACACATGAATCATTTATTGAAGGTGCCCTTCTGTGTACATCCAAAAACAGGTTAGAAGCTGTTCTCGCTTGTTTAAGGATATGTTGTCAAGTTCTTGATATTTTTGAGTTCTGTTCCAATAGTGTGAACCCTCTGCTTGAATTTGACTGGTTTTTAGAACCTATTTCTTTGATTTATCAAATTGTTAGATTTCTTCCTAGAATCTGTTTCCAGAATATATATGCATTATGAGCCTGTATAAAATCTCATTCCTTAAACTGTTTCATGTTGATGTTTAGGTCGTGTATGTGTTCCTATTGATCCCAACCAGTGTGAGGACTTTGATCCTACCAGTGTACCAACCCTTTCCCAGGTAAGCTTGTTATCCCTACCACTGGATTTATCTTTGTAGATGGCTATATTATTTACTGCTAGTATCTCAGTATCTTAGATGTGCCAATCTAGAATGTCATGGTCAACCTATATATCATGTTGCAAATGCTCACCAACTGTTGTTTGCAATCTACTTTGGAGTTTACACCTCACATATATGTATTTGGATCTGAAAAACTGCAGCTTTTGGAAGAACTTAACAGAAGTCATGGTGGGGATGGTGAAACTGGTATGTATTTTTCTCTATTTCTTAGTTCAATAGAGAGACATACCTAAATCAGTTTATGCAAATCTAGTTATCTACCATCAGAGTATATATCTATAGATATGTAAACTTTGTTTTGCTGCATGTGAAAGTAGTGTGAATCTAGAGTCATTGAATATTCTTTCCTGTTAAATTAAGTAAACTCATTTCAAAAGGCTATCTAGTTGTTTATGAAGGAAACGGTGCTTGTTTTAATTGTGTGGCAGACTTGGAGAGAACTTCGCTTGGCAAGTCAATTGCATTTTTCAGGTCATCATTCTTACAGCCTCTGTTGAAATCATGCAAAGTAAGTTTTCATCTCAAAAAGCTATCCCAATTTTGTTGAAGCCAATTATCATAGTTATGTCAAAGCTATGTATATGATTTGAAACTTTATTATTACTCTTTTATGAAGTATAATAGGTTGAAAAGGTTAGGATTGAAGTATTGTTTGGAGTGCAGTGGTTGACAAATCTGCTGATTTTTTTTGGCTGTTAATCTTCATTTTACACGGTGTCTCTTTTGAGCATAATTTTGCATGAGGCATATTCCGTATTTCCGTTTTTGCCTATAAACTAATCTAAAAGTCATTTTGACCTTGACTTGTTATGGTAAGGATCTCTGAAGTGAGGATCTGAGCTAGTTGGTGATTGTTTTATGTATAGTTCACTATGAAACTGCAATGACCTTAGTTGGTGTCCACAACTAAAATTATGGGAAGAACAATTAGCTCTCATTTATTATCAATTTTCTGGTTTATATTTTGGGCCGTATTGCTGTAATATTTTCCAGGTAAGTATTAGGATGTCTGATAAAGTTAGGTTAGTACTTGTTTTGTTATGTGAAATTTTGTTTTGCAGCCAATTGTGGGATATGAAGATCTCATAATACCAAGGTACTAAGGTAGTGAGGGTAGTGTTAAATCTTCCTTTAGAATTACCAAGAGTGTGATGATTTACATCTCCTGCTTGTTTTACTAGACTTTGGAGAATTTGAATGGAGATCATCACACTGAACTGGTCCTATGGGATTTGGCAAGAGATTTGTTAAACAAAGTATTTTGTTTGAAATGGAGATAAAATATCTGGAAAAGGTGTTCATTAAACACCACCGAGTTTTGGCAGTAGAAAGATTTCTAATTCTTGAAACAGGCACAGAAACATATTTTGCTAATGAATTTGTTCGGACCAAGAATTAAAATGCGAGAGTATCACTTGTGCTTTCCTGGACATGGCTCCACAGGGGGTGGGAGGCTAAGATAATTGTTTAACATTGTATTCTGTTATAATAGAGATGAATCATATGAAAAAGGCGTTTATCATGCACCACCAACAACTACCGGCAATGGCTAGAGATAATCTTATGTTAAAATCCATTGTAGCCCACTTGTGAGTGTCCCACATTGGAGTAAGAGAAGAGGTGGTTCCACTCTATAAGGTAGAGGAGTTACTCCTACTATTGCCAATTGGTTTTAGTGTGGAAGCTCCAAAGCCTAGTTTGTGGACCAAATTCTCCTCCTCCTTGTTCGGGTTGCCCAGGCCCATTTCATATTATTTTGAAATTTAACATCTTATAAGTTACGAGGGTTGCCAGTTTACAACTTTGTCTTCCATAAAACCAGATTGCTTTTTCTTATCAAAAAAAAAAAAAAAAAACAGATTGCTTTTTCTGGGAGAGACAAAATATCAATGGGCAGATATATATACTAGCAACTATTCTTTGTTGATGATAATGGGGATTGTCAATGGAAGTAAGTCTTATATAAAGTGGAACTAAATGATATATTTCATTTTTGTGGATGCCCTTGTGTGCTTCTATTTAGGTGATTGCTTGATTGGACTATTTACTTCTAGAGTCTTATCTAAAGTGAATCAAATGTAAAACTGGTTGTTTGCTGTAAAACATTATAGGGTCTGAAGGTTTAAGCTTTTACTTACATGTTGCAAAATCATAGCTTTGAATATGGAAATTTTCCTTTATTTTTGTATCAATATCAAATTAACCAACAAATATGTTTTGTGAATGTGATGGCGACCAAGTCTGCAAAGTAAGGAATTAGGCATTACTTTTAAATTAAGTTTAGATACATGTCAGTATCAAATATTTAGTGAGAAAAAGCCACTGCGCTCTTTACCTCAAGTAAGCTAATTGTTGGACCGATGGAAGCCATGAAAAAGTCTACTGCACTTACTATCAGGAACTGACTTTTGCCTCGATATTGCAGGAAGAATTGGAAGATACTTATAACAAAAAACTTAAGCAGAGCAAGGACGCACTGACTTGGTAGAGGTTTCTATTGGGTTATCCGGATTGTAGAATATTTATCTGTTCTCTTCTGTGGCTATGTAAGTGTCTTGGTTTATGTATAATTTGTTATTTAGTCAGTAGGAGATAACTTATACGAGTAATGCACTATAGAAATGCCCTGCATTCCAGGTTACAACATTTGATATGGATGCTTTCTGTACTATCTATAAATTTTATTGCAATATTAGTCGTGAAAATTTCAACCTCATAGTACATTCTTATTTGCTTCTTGACTTGTACGTGATTGTCTGTATCTTTGTTTCTTGCATACAAGATAACCCTCACCCTAAACAAAACTGTCAATGGTGGTTTTGGCCTCTCTTATTAATTGATTTTTTTTTTTTCGTTATGTCAAGGCATCTGATATATAAATGGTCAGGCTCCATTGAAAAACATGCTTCTGGTGTTTTAACTCTCTGTTTTGAGCTTAAGAGGAGTTGTAATCCTAAACCGGTATTGGTTACGATTGGGACATTAATGGCTATTTCTGACATATATAAGGGTATTTTGGGCTTTTCTTGACTAAATAGGGGAGTATTATTGGAATGGAAATTTCATAAGATTGGTTGATTTTGCTCTTCTTTAAAATGGGGTGGTGAAATTTAACCAACCTAACAATAGCAACATTGCTATCTTGTTGGCAACAATTTCTCTAGTCTTGCCTCAGATGTTTGAAAGTTAATGAGCTGTGCCCAGTTGATCAGCCAAATCAACAAAATTTGTTTATATGGGGGTATATTGTCTTTTCATCTACCAAATGAGGAATACATGCGTAATTTACTACATAAAGTCAAAGACAAGTTACATAAAATTATTGGACAATTGTGAAAAGTACAAAACTATTGGCCAAGCTTTTGCACGTATTTACATAATATGCCACCAGATTAACGAAATTTTGTTAATTTGACAGATTAGCTTGTATTTGCCGAAAGTTAATTAGCTAGCCATTAGGTTAATTGTTTTTCAATGGATATATTATGAGGATTACTTTTAATTATATTCCGAGGTAGTACTGCACTTTTCGATAATGTTGGGTTGTCCTTTGATTAAATTCGTTCCATTTCTTTGTTTTCCATCTTTCTCAAGTTAGATCTGCACAAAGTCTTGTGGTACCAACTAGAGAGATATGATACTGCTCGAAACAGTTTTTTGGGTATGTGCTGTCATTTTATGTAGGATGGTCATGCCAAATTATAAGCTGTTATTCACAACCTACAGTGAATGTTAAGGTCAGGACCACCATGTGAAATTGTGGCACTCTATGCCTCCTTAATGACGCCCGAGTGGTGTGCCATTGTGCCCTTCTCTTCTCACTTGGCTAATAAGAGGATCAGATTATCGGCCTTGTCAACAAGGCTTACTTCCAGGTACTTTTCCTTAACTTTACCCGTGATTTGATGCCCCAATGTTGTCACTATATATGCTTGTTGCTTGGATTTGTTACCAGTCAGTTTTTAGAGTACGCGAATATTGTCTACAGGACAGGCTATCTGCAATCTTTCCTGATATCTTTTCCTGGTTTATTGATGCATCCAAGTGTTCCCTATGTGGATTTTCAGGTGATTATTGGTATCTTCGCTCTCTGCTTTGTAGATAATCGTGATTTGGGTTCCGTTGCCTTAAATTTAGAGCGTCTGAGCTGCTCGTCATTAGCTGTTAGTTGTCACACCCATTTAAACTGGATTGTACTTATGAGTGATAATTATGCAAGTTGAGCTCAGCTTAATTTGAAAATCACGTGTGAAACTCGTCTCGAACTCAAAACCTCTCCTTTAAGGCTGGACCTGAGCTTTCCCTCAGACTTTGTTCATGCTCAACTAGATCGTTCACTAACAAATGACCTTTATTTGTGAAGATTATAAATAAGCCAGATAGAAAGCTTATCAGCTATCGTTGTTAGCTGTATAACTCAAAACCTGTGGTCCATTGTGAACATATTCAACCGATTAGTGCTGGATCTTAATTAAGCTCAAATCTCTGGTTTGGTTTAGGGTAAATTGTAGATCAAGCTTGTTTTGAACTCGAACTCGATTGTTTTCAACCTCAATTAATTACTAGCATTCACTGTAATAAAGAACGTAGATTTGGTGATCACGCTAGATTTATTATGATCGACTATCATACTTGAAGTTGCGTCATGGGTTTGGTTGCTCTTTAAAGTGCAACATTTACCATATCCTTGTCTGAGATCCTGGACCTATCCACATCCTAGCCGTATCAAGTGGAGGTGATGAAGAAAATTAACGTTTCTATGGGATCATTAAGACGTCCGTAATTAGGACACGAAAATAAATACTCAGTAAATCTGTTTTGGGTTGGATTGTCTCACACCGATTTGATACGAACTATGAGTTTTTACTTTTAACCTCTCACACTAGTAAAAATTCACTCCTCAATAAGAGTCATGTTAACTTGAATCTAAATTATTGTGACACGACTCTGGAGACTTTGCCATACTCGACACGTACAAGTATCAGATTAGTTATGATAGATCTGATATCTTGTCAATCTAGTTGCTGAATATCACTATCTCAAAATTTTCCTAAATCCTTTGACCGAACGAAACTAGTAAGGTTATCAAGCTAACTGTTGTGAAATGACTGAGTAAAAATAATTACTTTTTCTCGTCTACTCGTACTCTTCTACTTCGTATTTAATTGGATAGAGGTGTTCATTTGCTAGATTTTAGAACACAATATTTAGTCATAAAGATTTTTATTTTTAAAACAAGAATATATGACAAGTACTTCCTTTGCCATCCATACATCCATAACTTGTCAAACATATATAGGGACACCAAACATGTAACATGCTCTTGGGGTCTTACCTAAAGGACTAACATGCTCACTTCTAAACACACTAGCCAATATATCATATATATCGAACAAAACTACTTAATCTTTATATTACATAGTAATTAAACTACTTTTATATAAGATAAGCTCTGTTTTAAATAGCAAGAACTTCCCAAATCAACTCTGGATCAAAAGATGGCATTTTTTCTAAAGAACAGTCATTAAACCCAAAATCATCAGTCATCATTGGATAGCTAGTCATGGAATCGGAACACGGCGACGCTCCGTTTCCGTTACTCCACCACCCCTCTTCAGAAATGGCTGGTGACACCATCCCACTGTCATTAACCACAGTTGAACAGAATGATGACGACGATGAAGAATAAGTATCCTTGACAACCAAACTATCATTCTCATTCAATGTGTTACTATCACCACTATGAGAAACAATACTATTCTCATCTCTGCCACCACTACCGCCGCCACTGCCACTGTCACTAATGCTGGCTTCTTTCTGCTTCTTTTTCGCAATCCTGTTAGCTCTTTCCTTCTTCAGTTTCTGACAAATGGTTTGGATTTTGGTATCCACTGCAGACTTGACTGCATTCATCCTAGCAGCATCACCAAACCCGAGCTTCGTCCCATCTTTAAGATTAGGAAAATTAAGGCGAGCATACTCGCCTCGGAGTTTATAGGCTGCACGATCATAAGCATAAGCAGCAGTTTCTGCTGTTTCATATGTACCTAACCAAACCCTCATTCTGTTCTGGGGTAGTCTGATTTCAGCAACCCATTTACCCCAATGTCTCTGCCTTACTCCTCTGTAAAGCTTCTTCTTTCCAGGATTGTTCATATGTGAACTGAAACTAGAACTATTACTTTGAAACAGCTGATTGTTGAGGGAAGATGAAGCATGAATCCCGGTCTTATTCGACCGGTTATCGAGCCAGAATTGTTGCAGTAGATCCCTTTGTTTGAGGTAAACAGAGGAACCTAATGGCTCAATCATGGAATTGTTGTTGTTATTTGTAGGATTTGGGTTTGAATTTGGGAAGTATGAAAAGATTGAATCCAAAGTATTGGTGTTGTTAGCACCTGCTGTTAGAATAAGTGCTGATACTGAATCTCTAATGTCAGTTGGTGTTGTAAATGATGTTGATGATGATTGGTAGTTGTTTTCTTCCATTTCTTGATGATTTTTTGTACCAAGAAAATTAAAACAGGGGATTTTTCTGTATGAAATTTGGGTTAAAAAGTTCTGGAAATCAGGAAACTTTAAAAAATCAGTCCCTTTTTTTCTCAGAAAAACAGAGGAAAATTGAAAAACCAGTGATCCCACCAAAAAATGAGGAACACTAGAATTATAAGATGAAGATTTTTATAAATTTTTTAGAGATCACAGAAGATTTTTTATTTTTTGGGATTATAGACAGAGAAAAGAGAAAATCTAAAAATTCTGTGAAAAAAAGATAAGTTGGTTTAGTTTTGATAAGTGTCAGGAAGTTTTTAAGTGTATTTATAGACAAGGGTAATTGAGTAGACTTTCAAAAGCTCTGTTCACAACTTGTTTACGACTTTTGCATAGTTTCTGCACAACAAGACAATTTTGCCCTTTTACAAGTGATAAAAAGTTTTTACCTTTTTTTTCAATCAAATCAATTTTATCTATTCACATTTTGTAAGTGGAAATTGCTGAATTTTCTTCCTTAGTTTTTCAAATTTGTTTGATGTGTATAAAGTTTATGCTATCTTTTTTGGTTCTTAGTTATCTCATTATCAAACTTTATGCTAGATATGATACATGGTAGAAAATGTGTTGTTACATGGAGCTTCTTCATTGCTTTGGAGGCTGATGTAAGTGTCATGGTAGAGCTTTTAACGACTTTTTATGCAAGTTTCTTTGTACTTTGGTTGGGGAGTAGAGTTGGCCAAGTAATTGTATTGATACTTATCTAGAAGCTTATAGTGGATTATGGTGTTGTGAAAAATGGCTAAGAGATTAGTGTGCATAGAGCATATGCATATTTATGTACCCCATGATGTTCATTTTCTTGATTAAGCGTAAATTTTTTATGTTTAAAAGGGAAGTGAGTTTATACTTGAAGATTGATTTTGAACCTGGAAAAATAAAAGATTGATTTTGGCACTTTATATGAGTAATACAATTATAACTTTGTATTAACAGTAATATGTGGAAAATCACCCTTTGGTGTTCCTTAATAATACCGTGAGCTATGTATGTATCTTGTAGAAATAGATTAGTCGAAACAAGGATTTTGTTTGGCCTACAATCCATTCATTAGATGAATCACTCTAGATCGAGTTGTACTTGGGTAAAATTAGTTTAGACCTAGCTAGTGAACCCCATTTTCGGGTGAATTAGGGTTGAGTTGGGCCAAGTAGTGACCACCTATACTTAAAACATAGGGAGTGTCTTTTTCTGTATGTAATAACTAATTTGTATCTTAGCAAACTCCATAATTTTCAGACTATTATTGCCATTAATGCTTTCCTCTCTAACTCTCCTAGCAATTTTCATGTAATTAAGTGGGAACTCAATTGTTGTTCATGCAGCTCAACATAATGTCAATATCTCCTACAGTCCTACGGCATGGAATGTGTATACGTGGACAATTTCCCTCAAACATTATTATTTGCTTGTTAGGGCTTAATAATTGATATAAGACAACTTTTCATGAAAAATATTTCTTTAATTTTATAAAAGTAATATTTAATACAACGTATGTAAGCAAGTAAATTAACATGAGATCGACAACCTTACACTAATTATCTTGAGATCAGAAGACTTAAATCGAGTAAAAATCCAATACTCCTTCTGTTACAATGGAAGCCACATTAGACCCAATTCTAGTAAAACTATGCACCTTTTTTTTTTTTTTTTTGAAAGGTAGTAAAACTATGCAGTTCTTAATACGGAGTATACAAATTTGACCATATATATTTATACAATTATGTAGTTCGTATATAACATACATTAATATTTGTAAAAATGTATATACATTGGGATTAATCCAACAACATATTATATATAGTTTGATATACTTTCTTGTTTTTTTTTTTCAATCATAATGTTAATTATTCACACAACCTTTTAAACCGTCTTCAATGGTTTATATTACAAGAAAAATATTGGTTGTGGTATTAGATTTGTCCTTAATATATACTTTAAATTTGAATTTTCCACAAGTTTTTTAAGTGTAACTAAACATAATAATGGGACAAAAACATTATTGGAAACCCCCAACAATGCAAGTAAACAATAAAACGGAGGTGGTATATATATTACTAGTAGTAAATTTATTTTTTGGTGTTTAGACTTTAGAGAGTCATCGAGGCGGGTGTGATGAGAATTGATCCCAAAGTTTAATTTATTGGAACTAAGGGTCTATTCTCATTTATTGAACTGTGCTGAACTGAATTGATTGGAGCTGGACTGAACTTAAATGAATATTTTATGAGAGTAGGAAATTATGATGAGCTGAACTGATTGGAGCTGAACTGAATTGAATCAAAATTAAGGTGAAGTGAACAACCCCCTACAAGGGAAGTTCTACTTGAGTTATTTTCTCACTCTCTAATAAGTATTGGTCAATAAAGTCAAATTGTTATAATTATTATGTAACAGAGAAATTACATGTAATAAAATAATAAAATTACACATGATATTGAAAAAAAATCCTCCCTTTGACCCCTGACCCTACCCCTATGCGAGGGAGAGTAACCTAGTTGAAAAAAGCAGGCCAATTGCTGGCAATGGTTCTCGTGAATCGAGAGTTGTGGTTGGGTTGACCGTGTCCATTCCGTCGGTTTAAGATTGGATATAAAGTGTCATTTTGACTTTGGTTTTCTTTTTTCAGAACTTTGAACCGAAAGTGAGCTGCTTCTTCCTCACTTCCTAATATTATTACTTGTATTATTATTACAATTACAATATTATTATTGTTATTATTATTATGAATATCTTCTGGTTTTATTTATTTGATAAAAGATTTATTACAGTATTGGTCATTACTACTGTATCCACGCGTCATTTGCTTTAAGGTACTATCCTTTATTGCTTCCTTTGGTCCCTTTATCAGGATAACATTTATTATATTATGGCCTTTTTTTTTCTCCCTATTATTACTCTTAAATTCATATCAATTTTTCAAAGTTAAGTTCTAAAATATTTGTATCATTCAAAAGCTCAGTTTACCTAGTTCTGCTCTGGTAAATGCTACTGTTACTGTAAGTCTGTAACTAGTAGGGGTAATATTTATTTGGTTTTTATATGTACTCCGTATTTATTTATTTTGCCTCAAAAAAAAAAAAAAAATGTATTTATTTATTTATTTATTTATTTGATTTTATATATATTTGTTTTAATTAATTGAATGATTCTGTAACCTATATGGACCAATGTTGTCTAGTGTTATGGAAATTAATCCCACCTCGTTCTTGCAACATTGAAAGACTTGGTCAATCTCATTTTTCTTGTATTGGTAGTTGTTGCATCAATTGTTGAGTAGTAGACTAGTAGAGTTGCCAATATAATGCAACTTGCATTATGAATTTTGATATACCAAACATAAAATTCTGTAAAGTGTAAATTGATGATTTACATAAAATGTTTGTTTGATGGATTCTTAAGGTTAACATACACCTTCGATTCATGATTGAATGTAAAGTTAGTCGACTATCTGTTAGTTAATTCGATATGATTATTGGTGCATTGTTTACTTTTGTCCATGTATATTGTGCCCTTCGACTTAGGCTTAATTTCCTTAAATTTGTTATTCGTAGTGGCCCTTGGCTTAAGCTTATGTTATGTATATACTTGTGTAAAGATACTCTTAATTGGTGGCAAATAGATTATCATGTTAATTAAGGAGATGTTTGGGTGAATAGGTTTATACGTACACAACATATTTGCATTGCTCTCCTTCAAAGAAATACCTACTTGATGATATTACATTGCTTCACTAGGTTTGTTCTCAACATATATTACAACTTGCAATGGTATATACTCAATAGTCAATATTCCTTATGTTCTCATTAGAGGTTGAGATATCTTTGTTGAAATAACTTTATTTTAGGTGTATAGTGTATTAATTAAAAGGCATATATTTCGCTATTTTGCTCACATGTTAAAGTGTTAGTGAATCTCGATCTTGGCCATACTTTTTACTAATGTATCAATGTTAATACATTAGACTTAGAAAAAAAAAATTAACATATTGACCATTATTTGAAAAAAATAAAAAAAATAAAAAAAAATTAGATGCTGAAACTAATTAGAGTATGGTGCATTGGTTTTTCAAAAAAAAAAAAAAAAGAAAAAAGAGTATGGTGCGACTTAATATAAATGGCCATATAAAAGGGATTTGAAGTTACATATTTAGTGATCTAAGGAACAATATTTTATGACATGTACATTACGTCACTTGTGACTTGCATAAAAAAAATATTGTCCTTGTACTTTAATATACAAGATATTGAACTAGGTGGACCTATATTGACCCCACATCGAGCAAACATATCCGTTCTTAACAAAATTCGGCCATATTAGATGACATTTAAAGGGTTAAGGAAAATTTCCTTTTATTTCAAGTTGATCCTTTCAATTGAAAGAGTCAAGGGGCTCACACCCGACCTTAGATTTAAGAAATATACCAATAAATATAGCAAAGATCGATAACAATAATGAATTATTAATTTACATCCCTGTTAAAAAATTTTCAGATCCGTCATTGATCTAGACCCGAATATTAGGTTATGTTGTTTTTAGCAAAAGCAATGTAGGAAGTAAGACAAGTAGTTATAAGGTCATCAAAGCAGAAAGGCAAACATCACATTCATAGGGAGTAAGAGGGGCCCTTTGATAGTTAGAAAAGAGAGACATTAAAGAAGTAAAGGTAAACCTTGGAAAGATGAGGGCCTCTCAAAGGACAAAGCTCGTGAATCACCCAATCTTTTTTAGTGTAGAAATTGAAAACCCATTTAATTATATCCATGTGAAATTATAAAGCCTAACCACTCCTAAAGTCAAATCCGTGGGGTGTTCCCATGTTTTGCTCTTCTTCTTAATTTTTAACTTTGTTCTAATAATTAGTCATCTTCACTAGCTATTTTTTGTAAAATAACTTCAATTCTATCATCCTAGCTAGCTCCGATCCCCATCTTTGTTGTACGGCTATCTTAAATAATTTACTTTTGATATTTATTACTACTTAATTGCTTAACAAATTAAATGATTAGATGTAACTATATTGTGTAAGTTATACGTTCGTTCACTTTAATGGATCGTACCATAGAGAATAGTAGATCGAGTAGAATAAGTGAACATCGCTTTATGTTTGATGTACTCCAATTTGATGAGCTAATTGAACTCATTCAACTCTGAATTGAATTTTTTAAACGATTTGTTCGGGGGAAAAATGATAATTAGTTTATTTACATACACATATGTATAGTAATTAGAGTATTGGTTAATTTTTCTTTAATTTGATTTCTTATTTAAAAAATTGTGAGTAACTTTCATAGTTTTTTGTTACCAAACTAAGCTTGGTCTAGTGGTAAAATTGTTACCTGTCAACCTTGAGGTTGGGGATTCAATC